ATCTTATTGATTATTTCACCACATAATCAAGCTCCTTATTTTGAGATTATGAATGGAATGATGAGGAGACATTGGATTTCATTTTCCTCCATTCTGAAGTACCATTACAGCATATGAATATTTGTCTACATGGCTTTTAAACTGTGCTTTTAAATAATACTTTTATTACCAAAACAGCTAAACAGGAATAATTAATGTTTTATACTGGAAATTTTATTTAAAGACAGCTACATATTTTCAAGAAATTACCTATGTCAACTATATGGGGAGGTCCAACATTTAAAGCAGTAAGTTATATCTGTGCAGTGTGAATATCCACTGCAGAATTCAAAGCAAATATTGGATTTTTTTTCAGGCCCCAAAATAGACCTTCATTTTGGGACAGGAAAACCTTCAATTCCTTCCCTCTCTCCCCCGCTCTCTTTGTGTGTGTGCATGTGTAGTATGTGGTGCTTGTGTGATTTATACATGCATGTTCATGCACATTCACTCAATACATCTATTTTCATGCATTTTTCTAAGTTGAGATGTTTTCCTTAGGACAGCCTAAAAAACTGCATATAAGCACTGCTGGATTATTTTGCATTTGAAACAAACATTTATTCTTTTAAACAACAACAGATAGTTCATTTGTTTAGAACAGGTTTTTTTAACCTCAATGACTATGTTATTAATAAAATAATTGGTATTAATAATTGTAGTCTTCAAGGTATACAATTTAAGTACAGTGTTGCTAGCTAAAAATTTTAAAATAAGCCAAATATCATTGGTAGAATATTTTTTTTAACTCTATTCCATGTATTGCTTCATTCACAAAAGAACTTAATGAACTAGACCAAACATTTCAAAATTAAAAGAGAGATAATAATTTACTGTATATTATGTACCACTTCTATATTAATAATGTAGAAGAGTGCTACAAAAGAATAAAAACACATTCCAAATACTTTTAAAGATATTTTGTTATTAATCTGTACATGATGTTCCATTAGACTGTGAAGAGCTACACTTACTTTATAATTAAGTATAATTAACTTATCTTTATGAGAGAAGACAAGTGGCAAGAGTAAGACTAAGGATGGGTAAACTTATCTTTTTAAAAAGTGTTTTAAGACAGCATTAAAAGCTAGTAGGATGGGGGGAACAGTAATTAAGAACACTCTAAGCCTGTCTGTCAAATACGCCCTTTGCACTTTGATCTACTTAAACATATGTCACCTTGACCTATAACATACCTGTTAACATTTCTGATCAATATGAATCAAGCACAAATTAATTTATTCAGGTGGTTTCCTCATACTGGAATGAACATTAGAAATCTAACTAGTATTTGCTCTTCTATCATTGGCAAAAGAATCATACTTAAATGATAACAAGTGCTCATGGGTGTCATTTTAAAGTTAAATTGTTCCCCAAGGATATGTTCACAAAATGTCTACATTTAAAGGTTATTCACTACCAAATTATGAACAACTGTTGCATTTTTAAACAGAGAAATCAATAGTTTGGAGATCCACTCATCAATTTAAAGTGTTAGTAAAAAGTTTAAACGTTGACTAGCATGATTTGAAGAAAATATATCACTGAGCAATCTTTCCACATACAATAGATATCTAATATCCTTAGAAAGTCAGAATAGAATCCCACTGTCAAATGAAAAGGCACAAAAACCACTTTTCTATAAAGTTATATTGCTGTAATGCCCAAAATTAGTGGTTTTGTTCAATAAAAATGATAGAAAGTAGTGCACTCAAATCTTATACATATACTGCATATTGCTTTTAAATGTTGGGTTAAATCTCATTATAAAACAATGATAGACTGATAAATCAATAATAGTATGAATTGGTTGAAGACTTTAAAAGGCATCAGGCCAGCTAACAACCAGGAGTCTGTAAGTTCTAGTTCTGCCTTAGACATGCAAGACAGTTGGGTGACTTTGGGCCAGTCACTCTCTGTCAGCCCAATTCACCTCACAGGGTTCTTGTGGGGAAATTAGGAGTACTAGAACTACTACTGGAAGATATGTTTCCCACCTTGAATTATTTATAAAGACAAAGGTGGGATAAAAAATAATTCTACTAACAAAAATAATGAGATGAGAGAGTTGAATGCATGTTACTAAAGTTGGAAAATATTTAACTGTGATTTTCCTGTAAAGTTAGTTTCTACTCAAAGAAATTAGTTCTGACAAGTCCTCTATTTGGGAACTCAAATCTACCACTCCCAGAAATGTTAATGTCAGATAATAAAGAAAAGGCTAGTTAATGTTATTTTATTTTAATGAAAATTTATGCTATCCTTCTATCATGAAGACTAACAAAAACTGAAACTAGTGCAAAATTAAAAATGTGTAGTAAACAAGTGCAGTAAGATTTTCCTATAAAGCAGACAAATACAGAGGAAATTATCAAATGAAATTTACACTTATTTGAAAAACAAATGTTTTCCTAAATAATAGGGTTACTAAGTCTATGACTGGAGATGGCAGTCAAAAAGTACAAAAATTTCTGGCTTTTCCAGGCCATTTGCAGTTTTCTAGCCCAGATCTGGTAATCTTATAAATAAAAGTTCTTAACCAACCGATGAAAGACTACTGGAAAAAGTTCTGGTGTGGCTTCCTGAGGCACAGAGGTCCAGAGTTTAAATGTAGCCACTGAGTACCTCTTTCTATTGTCTTCATCACTCCTGCCTCTGCCAGGAGAACAGACTTTTCATCAGATTTTAGGGTAGAGAATACTGTAATAAATAAATGTTAGGGAGCATAATATGAAAAGATCTCAAGCTATCCTAGAACTAAAGATTCAAGGTAACTGGAGGTAGCCCTCAACTTATGACCACAATTGAGCCCAACATTTCTGTTGCTAAGTGAAATACTTGTTAAGTGAATTTTTAAGCCATTTTATGACTTGTCTTGCCACAGATGTTAAATGAATCAATGCAGTTAAGTTAGTAACACGACCATTGACTTTGCTTGTCAGAACGTTGCACAAACTGACCACTTGACCCTGGGACATCAGAAATGTGAATCAGTTATCAAGTGTTTGAATTTTGATCATGTGACCATGGGATGCTGCAACAGTTTTAAGTATGAAAAACAGTCATAAATTTCTTTTTTCAGTGCCATTGTAACTTTAAATGATCACTAAATGAACTGTTGTAAGTCAAGGATTACCTGTACTGTAACTTTGAATTGTGCCCTAAGTCAGGCAAAGCGAACTAGAGAAGGAGCCACAGTAATCAATGGAGTTGTACGTTACGGTTCCATCTCAAACATTTGCCCATTAGCATTCTTTTTAGACCAACTATATTTTCCAAATAGAAACCCCAAGTAATGTGTATTGCACCAATCCAGTTTAACTTAACTAAGGCAGAGGCAGGTCTAATTCATCTGCATTCTATGCATCGTTGCCTTAAATCAGGTAAAGGTACTTCCACCTTCAGACAAGTCCCCAAATGCAAAACAAAATCCAGAAGCATCCAAAAGGAAATTTGATTTTTTGAGAGTAAGCACCCCTTCCAAACTTAGTTCTTATTGCAGGCTCCTCATAAGTGACACCTCTATCTTGTTTGAATTATATATAAGACTTAATTCATATTCTTTATGAATGAGTGATTTAAAGTCAGATTCAACAGCTTGTCTCTTAGCATTAGTTCACATGTTGCAGAGAGAAGTGAAGAATGGAAGTTAATTCTAGTTTTGGTCAATATGTTTCCATCTATATTTAACTCATGATTTGTGAGGAACCACACAGCAGAATTAGTATTTGTTAGTTGGACATTTGGCAGGAACTGATGTTGGACAACAGCATTTAATAATTAGGCTACAGGTTAAGTAACCCTAAATGTTTTACTCTGACAAAAATCACTGCTTCTTCACTTAAGAGAAAGAGCTACAACTTTAAAACAGACACATGCACTCCACTATGTGGAGCAAGGGCCAAAAATATCAGGCCACACTTCAATTAGTGCACTTTGAAGGACTCCAGACAAGGGAAAAAGCTTTTTTTTTTTTTTCATAAATACAATTTGTATCTGCTTTGGTACCCGCTGCCTTTTGTGTGGCGTTATGTATCTCTAGGGAACATTTCACACATGCTCGAAGATAAATTGTCCTAAGACCCGGAATTTTTTAATCAAGAGTAAAATCTGATCCAAATCTTCCATCAGAGCCCATTTAGAATGTCCTTAGGTCTTCAGGTATCTAGGTTTGCAATGTTATAGAATGACGAGTTGAAATGGCAACCCAACCATTCACTAGATTTACACTATACTCTAAATATGTTTATGAATTAAGTTGAATATATGTGTCCCAGGATACTGTTATAGGATCCGATCTGGGTCGATCAGGATCATAGGTTTTATTTTCCGATCTTTCAGACTGGTGCTGAAAGAGAGCCTCTGAGAACCTCTGTCTAGCAGTGTGTGCACTTTGGTCTCTTTAGCGTGTGCTATTGAAATGGTGGCAGGTTGTGTGCAACTTGTTAATTGTACAACACACCACCAGGCACCCTATGAGTACCACACACAAAATAGTTCAAAGCAGGGGTCTCCAACTTTGGCAACTTTAAGCCTGGAGGACTTCAACTCCCAGAATTCCCCAGCCAGAAGTCCTCCAGCTTAAAGTTGCCAAGGTTGGAGACCCCTGGTCTAAAGCGCACACACTCTTGCTAGAGAGAAGTTCCCTGAGGATAGGCTCCAGCAGAAGTCCCAAAGCACGTCAGCTTAAGCCTAAGACTGATCCCGGTGACCGACCCCGATTGGATCCTGCAAAATAAATTTAGCACTAAACTCTTTCGCCTTCTTGTCGGCGACCTGGCAGCTAGCCCAACGAACCAGCCCTGCAAATCCCTTCTATTCAGGAGCACCGTCTGCGCGCGCTCCTTCGGGAGAAAGCAAGCAAGCGCCCAGCCCCGAGCTGTACCATCCCATCCTCTGCAGGGGGGAAGGCTGGGGGGGGGGAGAGAGACACTAGCTCCTTCGCTTTGCCCACCACTCACCGTGTAGCCCCTTTCCAATTCGCTCTCCTCATAGCGGAACGAAGGAATAAAAATCTCCATGGTACGGTCGGTGCGCGAGCGCAGCCCCTGGACGGATTCGCCACGGTGGGTTGGGGGGGTGGAGAGGAGGGGCATTCGTGAAAAGGGGAGGCAAGGGGAGGGGGGGCGCTCTACGTCCCTCAGGCAGCGCAAAGCCTGGCGGAAGGAGCCGTGGGCCAGTGCAAATCACATGACTGGCAAAGGCAACCTTTTTTTTTTTCCCTATCTCTATGGGAACACCAGTCTCCGCTGTTCCTCCACGTGATTCCTGGTGCAAGATGGACTGGGAAGGAGGAGGAGGAGGGGGGGAGGGAGTGGGTGCCTTCACTACTCCCAGCTCTCCTGGTCTTGGGTGATAGGGAGGGCGTCCTTGTGCGCCAGGGGAAATGTTATCTTTGTTCCTGCTGGAGGTTGCGACAGTTTCGGCCACAGGCATTATTCATACTTTCATTAAAGCGGTTGCAGCAATGTGGGATAAGGGCAGCCCTTAGGTGTCCCCGCCCCCTGCTTAATTGTAAGTTGACGCATTAGGCAGTACTGAGTAAGGGGAACGCCTGTTTTGGAATGCGCAATCTGAAATGTCACCCAGTAGTAATGTTAATAGATAGGCTAGCTGCTAGACCGTAAACAGAAGGAAGGAAAAAAGAAATACTACAATGGCTGCAAGTTTGTAAAATAAAATGCAAATTTTCTAACTTCGGGGACAGTTAGATTGCAAAAGATGCGCTCTTGACATGCTTAAAAATTCCAGACTCCTCGATTCTTTGGACTCATATTCTTTGCTGCCTTCTGTTTACTTGAACTCGAATATTGCTCTCTATTTAAGGAGATGCTTTATTTAAGGAGAGATTTTTCTCTCTCCTATATAAATGATTCGTCTGAAGCTAAATACATATGAAATAGGATTGTGTATAGTCTGAAATTCTGTTCTTGCGGTTACAGACAGTACAGTACTGCTGTGGGAGAAAACGTAACTATCACGATTTTAAATTTCAAGGCATTATAGTAGGTATTTACACATTAATATCCATAGACAAACCTAACATTTTAAGCCAATTCAAAAATGTATTTAGAAGCTGCATTTGTAACATCTTATATTTCAAGGAAATTGAGATGGCATTTAAAGACCTTGACTGGACTCAGCCTTAGTGCTGATCATATCCTGGACAAAAAAAGACTTTCAGGAGAGCTGCTCCTCAGGCTGATGAATATGAAGCCCTTTCACTCAAGATTCAGAACTGGATTTTGAATGGAAATGGCATCGATTGCACTTTTGAATGATCTACAGTGGGAGCAGGATGGAGGTTATGTATCCATTGCTCTGCTTGATTTCTTAATGCCCTTCAGTGCATTGACCATGGTATGAAAAGTTCCACTTTTGAATCACCAGTCTACATCATGTTTCTATAGAAGTCATCCAAGTGATTTTGGCAAATTTGAGGGAAGCTTCAATTATCCTAGGCACCTACAGGAGTCATCTTATACTTTTTCATGAGTCTCACTTTAGCAGTGCTTTTCTGAACCCTTGTGTCAATAGCCATACGGATTCCAAAATGTTACCCTGGAGTTATTACTTCCTGGATTATTTTATGCTGTATTCTTGAAGTGATTTTGACAGAATGTGAAGTGATTTTTCAGAAAAAACTGTTTTTGCCTCAAATCTCGATTCCAAATGATATCTGGGACTCTAAATTAGTGAAGTCCTAATGTTTTCACTTATTTCCAGTTTTAAAGGAGATCTTTACAAATTTATTTTGGGTGAGAAATAACGTACATTGAAAACTTCACTGTGATGAGGGGCCAAAGTTTGATGAGTTATAGAAGATCAATCAAAATCAGCCCATTTATTTAATTACATACAAAATTGGTGCTAGTTTTTCCTTTGAATTGCTTGAAAGAAGAGTGGGATGGAGATTACTTTTTTTACACTAACATACCACATATTGGATGGCTTTATGAATAAGCAGCAAATTTTATTTGTTTACTTAAGATTCCCTTTATATAGTATATTAGTATGACTTACATGAAACTCTGATAAATGAGTAATGGAAATATTCCCCTGCATTCACTGAGTTCAGTGTCTATTCTCCTAGTGGCCAATCAACTACCCAAGGAAGCATACATGTCTCCCAGCAATAAGCCTTCAGAGACAGTTACACTGACATCAAGGCTAATAGCCACTGATCCCCATGTCTTCCATGACTTGGTCTAACCATTTTTGAAATAAGCTAAGTTGCTAGCCAACCCCATATCTTGTGGTAGTAAATTCCAAGTTCGATTACATGTGGTCCTATTAGTTTGCATGAATAGTTAGGCTTTTTGGCACCAATGTGCATCGTTTTACACTTGCTCACATTGAATGACATCTTTGATATCCAGTTCTCTAATGTGTGGAAATCCCTTTGGAGCTCTTTGTAATCCCTTATTGTTTTACCATTCCAAACAATGTAATGCCATCACCTACTTTGGCTATTCCATTAGTTAATTCAAAAAGGGCAAAAATTTGCTGCAATATTGCAGTAGTAAATCATGCAGGTAATTATTGCCATTGAACAATAACATTAGGAAAAAAAAGCTGTTCTGTAACAACACGATTACTTTAATACTTTTTCATAGAACAAGCATGTAAATTCTCTACCCATTAATAGGAAAATGCATCCACATTATAGAACTTACTGGGATGTTTGGTTATCTTCTATGTGGGATTTCCATTTTAGGACTGATTCATAAAATATTCAAGCAATTGTTGCATGCATGTGTAAATTTATCTCATGAGAATGAGTTAAAACACTGCAGCCCTGGAAATAATACAACTAAAGTTGCCAAAATACCTGCTAGCTATATACAGCTAGAACCAACACCATATTTTTTTCAGAGGAAGTTGAGATGGCAAAATGCACATTTCCACTGAGACAAAAATTCCAACCATAGAATTTAAATATCTTTCAGGAACATGAAAATAATCACAGATTATTATAATAATCACAGAAAATGATATGCCATTTTCCAAATTGTATAGTGACTTAAAAAACCTAAAATAGATATCTGGATGTTATCCAATTGAACAATTGACTCTACAGAATTTCAGCACTGTCTTTTTTTACTGTGTAAATGTGATTTTAAAATAGGAAACTCCTTAGAAAATCATAACAATTTAAATAGAAGCATGTTGAATCTTCAGTTTTATTCCCTGACAGAAATCTTCATTGGATCAAGGAGCCTTGTTACTAGAATGATAACAATTTGAAACAATCCAAACAAATTGATTTATAAATTGTTACAGTTTTATGGTTTAGTATCCAAGGTTTTTGTTAAGGCCAAATAAACGGCATTTAAGTGCAATGGTTTAATTTTTAAAATACTTTTCATATGCATAAAACTGATAGAACTACTAAATACCAATTACTTTACCAGGGTTTATAGTTTATAATCAATTAATGAAGAACAAAATTACACAGGTGATGATTAATGTTGCACAAGATACATCCCTTTATTACTGTAATCACAAAATCTTGATTATTTACAGGAATGTGTATGTGAACATTAATAAATGCATTTTCTTTCATAAAGATCAAGTAGACAGAACTTATAGTAAAGAACAAAAATAACGTTCTGGCCTTGCATTGCACATCTTAGTGCAAATATTAAGACACAATCGTGTTCAATTCGCAAGTATTGCAGAATGTCATGCCACAGTCCAAAGAGGGTCAGGACATGCAGCTGTTAATAAGATGCTATAGTATATAAAAAGCCACATGTTAAATTCATAAAATATATAGTGGTTTATTTGGATGATTTTAAAGTGATTTCATTGTGGAATCTAATTCAACCGGGACAACATCCAAAGAATCTTCATATTGGAAAGTCATCTTTTCTAGGCAATGGCTTTGGCTTCAGGTAGGAATGCTTCCCAGTATTTTATCATCTGGGGAGGAAAAAAAAGAAACAATAGTAAACAGCATTTCATATATACAAATGCATATACACACATACATGACTATCCAAAATTCTTTCAATGTAAACATCTAATGCATTCCATCGAGTAAAACTCTACAATGTGTTATGATTATTTGAAAATAATCTTACCTGCTGTTGTGTTTGCACTAATGATTCCAAGTACTTGATTATAACGGTTTTGAAGTCTTTTACGCGTTCTTTCTGAGAGTAAAAGAAAATTAAGGTATTTACTCACTGAACAACCTTGCAAAAGTTTATTTCATTAAGATCCATTTAATATTTTTTTCCCAACAGCCTGTATACATGCCTCAAATCTTCCTACTTCTTTGCGTATTGCTTTGGAGATTTGTTCAAAATCCCTCTCTCCTTGTTGAACTTTTGTTTCCCACTAAAAGTTAAAAAATGCAAATAATTTAAACACATATAATTAAGCATATTATTTTTTAAAAGAGTGAATATAACAATGAATAGCAATGTAATCTAAACTAAAAGGTTTCTTATTCAAAGTATATCTTCTATTGTACCTATCATCTTCGGGATAATGATTGTGATTATTCTTTATTTTTAATAGAAAATGATACCATACATACCTTCCAACAATATAATATGAAGACTTTCCCAGGCAGTACTATTCAAAACACTTTCCCTTTCAAAATTAATAGTTCTTTTGGTTTTAATTTTTAAATTCTAATTATAGTTCTAGAATATGTTGTTCAATTTCCTGTAAAGTAACAACTATAATAATAGTATAATAATAGACCTACAGCGTGGATCTCCAACCCCTGTGGCCCAGTGCCATCCTGTTGGGAACCAGGCTGTGCAAGTGGCAGGTGAGTGTACAAAAGTGCATTTGTGCAAGAGGCGCACATACGCAACCCTCTTCTGCCACACTACTGGTCCGCAGAGTCAGAAAGGTTAGGGACCACTGACCTATAGCATAAATTCTATATCCAGATATGCTTAAAAGGATTAATTATTCTTAGATTTAGGAGCATTTAATATTTAAGTCAGCCATTCATGTATGTTATTCTCAGCCCATAGTATGAAATACTCTACAGAAACTATAGTAGTCTTGGAGTTAGATACCCTAGACCACGGGTATCATACTTGTGTCATCATGGCAGCATCACATGATGTATCAGGACTTTCCCCCACTTTGCTAAACCAGCTGGAGGCAGGCCAGCACGTGACGCATCTGGCCCGTGGA